CTAAAAGTAATGTATACATATTGGATGGATGTGGTAATACAGAATGAGCTCATATTAAATATACTCTTGGTTTAACCATGATAATTAGTTTTAAATTTTTTGAAACATATATATATATATATATGTATCAAAACTGTAAATATGCATCATCTATTTCATTTATTGTTTACCATTCTGCCTTTTGCTTGATATTACATAAAAAGAATTACTGTTTTCTATATTATTACCAATTCTATTTTTTTTTTTTTTGGTACTGGGGATTGAACTCATGACTTTGTGCTTGCGAGGCAGGCACTGGAACCACTAAGCTATATCCTGGGCCCTTATTACCAATTCTAAACATCTTACACTTAACAGTAAAAGTGAAATATGTGCTCTATTATATAAATGAATAACATTCAGCATAAACAATCTAAATCTTAGACACTCATATGCTTTAAAAGATATCCCCATATTTTTTTGTATTTGATAACTTCAAATATTTCATAGACTATTTCCAATATTTATATTTAATTAATTTCTGTATACAAATTTTATTTAGTATTTTAAAATAAAAAAAGATTTACTTGAAATCTGACATAAAATTTTTAGAAAAACTCCTTTTACTTTATTGAGGTGGTAGGTATAAGGCATTATAGAAATACCGGTCACAAAAATCTGAATAATTACTATAGATTTGTTTACTCCATATTGTGTTAATCAGTATAAGGAATACTGTAGAGAATATATTGGTAGTCATCTATCAGCTGTTTTATTAAGATCACACTTATGTAGTACTATAAATTTACAGAAATGAAATATTATATATTTTATTGTCAAAAGTAGCCTGCCAATTGATAAATCATTGTATAGGTTACATTCTAAAATAGTAAATCACTTTTTAATATTTATATCTTAGTATATGATGTCACTTTATTGGTTATGTTCTAAAATATTAAATCAGTTTATTAATATTCATGTCTTAATATATGATATATAGGCCCAAAACTCTAATCCAGAAATATTTGCCTTTAATCTATTTATTTGAAATAATAATGATGATAATTATTATTTATCATTATGAGTTTTTGTTTATCCTGGAGTAACAGTAATCAATATATTTTAAAAGCATTATATAACTCTTAGAACAATAACACCAATAGCTTTCAAATTAAATTTGACTCTAAAGTTGTAGCAAATTCAATTTTATTGTATTTATGTATTAAATTAAAATTCCTAAACTGGCATTCCAACTAATGGTAGCAAATTTAATGGTAATGTATTCATTTACTAAATTGAAATTCCTAAACTAGTGCTACAACAAATGAAGACTTTTTACAAAATGTGAAATAATAGGCTCCTCAACTTATGAACAGGTTGCATTATTAAATGAAAATATACTAATTTGAAAATGAATTTAATACACCTTATGCACCAAACATGGTAGCTTAGTATAACCTACCTACTGATGAGCAACACCCTTAACCCCTTAACATTAGTCTATAGATGGTCAAAAGCATCTAACACAAAGACAAGCTATGATAAAGTGTTCAATTAAAAACTGTACTAAAAGTGAAAAACAGAATGAAAACCAATGTGAAGTTTAAAAATTGTTAAGTCAAAACATCCTAAGTCAAGGACTATCTATATATAATGCTTCAATGTTAATTAATGAAAACACTAAGTAAATATCTGAGTTCAAGAAATGATCCAGAAATTTTTAGTAAAAGTTAACATATAATTAAATAAACTGCAGTAGTGTGCTGCTTAATGACAGGGAGTGCATTCTCAGAGATTCATCATTAGACAATTTTGTCCATGTTTGAACATCACAGTGTACTGATGTTAAGGCAGCTATTGTCACTGGGCAATACAATAGTATGGGATTATGATCCTATATGCAATCCATCACTGACCAAAGGGTAGTTATGCAGTATATGTGAGTTTTATTTATAAGTGTTCAAATATACACACATCTAGATGACTATATATCTTTAGTGTTCCAAAGAAATGTGTTCCAAGCTTTCTTGTTTGTTTCAGGGCTGGGGATTGAACTCATTCTTCTCACATGCTAGGTGTGCATTCTACCCCTGAGGTACATACCAGCCCTCTGGAATGAATTTTAAATCATCTCTTTTATTGTTTTTATCCCTTGTAATTAATAGGTGTGGGCCTTTAGGCATTTTTTTTCCTGGTGCTGGGGATCAAACTCAGGGGGACAAGACATTTTTTAAACTGTAGAGCTCGTCAGGATATAAAGCAAGAGGAAACCTAACAATTCAATTCATGACATTTGTTAAACTAAGCCTCTGTATAAAAATATTATGAAACTAAATTAAAATGAAGCGGAACCAAAAATAGACATCCTTAATCAATCAATGGCTATTTTTAAAAATCTGGTTACTCAGCAAGATTAAATGGAGAAGGTGATTTTGATGATTCAATAGGATATTTCGTGTGAAAAGGGGTTGGTATGAAAAGATGCATTAAGCTATCCTGCTGTATCTGAGGCTCCTCTTCCATGGCAGTAAGAAGCACAGGAGTCAGTTCACACTGTTTTTCACATGTAGATCCTGAGGCTTTGGCTGAAATTCTCCTTGAAACTTGTAAATCAAGCACATAATCTTTGAAAATAAGACTCATCTGTGAGAACAGAAGCTTTATCTGTAATTACTGCTTTAAGAACTTGAAGAATCTGAACAGTGGAGATGTTTGACATTTGAATGCAGAGTGCTCCTGAGATTGAGGATTGAGCCTTCAGTCACTATGGGAACAGACAGGGGACCTGAGCTCCAGGAGAAAGCATCATTACTGAGAAAATACTTGAAAATCTGTAATCAAGAAAACAATTGCATGTTCATTGGGGGTTGAAATGATGGCTTCATATTTGTTAAAAAAAACCAAGTAGGGAAAAGTGAAGATTAATCTGTAGCACACATCATTCCTTGGCTGAAGTTTGTTTGTTTTTTTCTTGAAAGTCTCAAATTTTTTTCTTTAAAAAAATCAGATTTGGGGCCGGGGATTTAGCTCAGTGGTTCCACCACCTGCCTTGCAAGTGCAAGGTCCAGAGTTCGATCCCTGGTACTAAAAAAAAATCTGATTAATAGTACTTGTTAATAGTACTCAAGTACTACTTGGTCAGGGTGGTAAGGACAACTGCATGTCAGATCAAGTTTGGTTCTCTTATTTGAAAAATATCCCAGTACATTTGGTTTGTCTTAACTTAGTGATATGTAACTACCATTCTGAAGTTTCTAGTTTTCCTCTGAGAGGGCATGGTATTGAGTATAAACATAGAAAAAGAAATGGAATGTTCCATGGTATGGTTTTCTTTCTCGCTTTCTGGACACGTTCTCCAATGAAAAAAAAAAGAAAAGAAAACAAGAAAAGAAAGAAACCATGATTGGTGTTATATGGTTGTAATCCTAGCTCTCTAGGAGGCTGAAGCAGGTGGATCCTAGCAAGTTTGAGTCCAGCTTGAGCAGCTTAGTGTCTTTGCTAGGCCCTGTGTGTGTGTGTAAATAAATAAATAATGTTAGAGGTCTAGCTCACTGTAAAGGGGAGAGAGAGAGAGAGAGAGAGAGAGAGAGAGAGAGAGAGAGAGAGAGAGAGAGAGAATAAGCAAACACAAGCCTGAAATACTTGATTCAAGTTAGAACTTTCCAAATTAGGAATTTGTGAGGTACTGGAAATTGTAGCATGAAATACAATTATCCAAGCTAACTTCTTATGTATGGACACTGTATTCTTCAAGGCAGAAAACTCAGTGAACAAGAAAGTAATCAAATGAAATAGGCTTTTCAAGTGCAGAGCCATCGTTCAAGCCACTCTTCTCACACAATTGGATAGTAGTTAAGGAAGATCAAGTCTAGAATCATTTAAATAAATATATATATTAAATTAGCATTACATATACAACAATCTGAAATAGGTAAATACATATTCATATGTTAAAGAATTAGTTTGAAATCTTAAACATTCTTAAAAGTTTCAAAAATAAACATCTATTGAAGAAATAAGTTTTTTTTCTAAGTTTCTGGCTCTTGGAACAGATTTTTAAAATGCTTCTCCAAGCACTTTTCTGTTTATTTCAAATGAAATCTAACTTTAGATTAATCAAAGGCACAAAATAGAAAGTAGTGATGAATGCATATACTCACAGATCCATACATACATACTTGATTGCATTAGTTTATAGCATACGTACACACATTTATATATCTCTGTATGTACATATATATTTAAAACAGGTATTTTCATTGTTTACCATATCTAATTTTAGACTGAGACTATGCCTAAAATCTAACCTTCAAGCCTTTGATGAGTAGCTAATTAATTTGAGGTGCTAACTATATAAGGACAAATTTACTTTTTAATAAATTTTTAATTATTTTAATTAATTCATTTTTTAATCATGCTTTTTAGCTAAAAGATTGAAGTTTAAAAAATTTTTAATTTCCAGATATATGGAAAGAGGCTGTACCAATCACAATAAATTATTGTTAAAAATGGGCTGATATACAATGGAGTTTTTTATATGCTAATCTTCTTTTTTTAAAAGTTAAACTGTTTTGTTTTTTGGTACCGGGGTCAAATTCAGGATTTTGCTCTTGGGAGGCAGGGGCGGTGTCACTGAGCTAAATCCTGGCCCAAAACTTAACTGTTTTGATAAACAATATGAGACTTTACCAATAGCTATATATTTAAAAACAGTTGAGTAGTACTCATGAAATTAGCCAGATTTTCTAAGGCTTTTGTTAGAGAAGTGAGTGTTAATAGTTTTCTGTAAGTTAAAGTCGTCCTCTTCTAGGCTCAGTACTATACTGGAAAAAAGAAAATGTCAACTGTTGCTATTCGCTAAGGAAATATTGCTGTTATTTGGCACTTTGCTTCCTGAAATCAACACCCTCAATCAATATCCTTACTGTTATTGATGATAGTCAGTGAAGAGTGATGAGACATATGGTATGATTCTGAAAGAAAATAAGATACAGATTTAACAGCCAATTAACTTTTCCCAGGTCATCCAATCAACTGCTGTGAGAGTCAAAAATAGAAGCTAAGTCTAATGCTCAACAGTCGCTAAAGGATCGGAGCCTGATTACTTGCCTGGAGTAGACCTCAGCCTCTCCTGAGATTTGCCTTATCTGTAAGGAGAGATCATCCAGGGAGACTCAGTCATTTCAAAGCTTAGTTTAACTTTATGAAGAGGGGTAGAAAAAAGTTCATAAACATTTGGGAAAATATTTGGTAATGAGGTCTAGTTATAAATTTCTGATGAGAATAAAAATGATAAAAAATATATATCTTTTACTTACTATGTCTGTTTCAGAAATTATAATAAGTTCTTTTACATGTTATCTTCTTTCTCACAACAACTCTATGATTTTTCCTGTTTTAAATATTAATAAACAGCTCGGAGTTGAGCTGCTATAAATCATCTAGCTAGTAAATTGTAGAGGTGGGATTCAAAGCTCAAATATTTTTTTCTGAAAGCCATAATCTGTCATAAGTGGTAGCTGAAATGTTCAAAATAATAAAGAAACAAACAAACAGAGAAAGGGAAGGGAAGATACAGTTATCAACATACTTTGAAAATAATGTTCAGATCATTTGATTGATCTTGAACATAACCAAAGGCTGCCTGAGAATGTGAAGAAATTATTATTATTATGATTACTATTATTATTATTTCTATAGTAAAGCCAGGTACTATAATGACCACTTGAATTGCATTCATTTTTATGCTTGTGATATTGTACTGTTATAAATAGTAACAGTTTACATTCATCGAATGTTTACCATAGTATATGATACTAAGAAACTTACTAGAAATGTTAACATTTATAAAATATAGCAAATGCTATTGTCTTATGAAATCATGTTTCTCTCTCATCTGGGGAAGATGAAAGAAATTTCATTTAGATTTCTCTTCTACAGGAACACCAGACTAGTAATTAATGTTTATCAGTGGAGATTCTCAATTAGTACATTCTTATTTATCACAAAACCCTTCCAAATTGATCCTTAGGTAATTCTAATAAATATAAGTGTGTAATAAAAAAATTAAAAACATCAACCCTATTTTATATCTCAACTGGATTCACTATAGGATTGGACAAATTTAAAAGTAGTTTTCCCAAGAACTTCTCAGTTTCTCAAGAGTCAGAAGAGAGATTAATGGGGATGACAAGGGTTTGTCACAATTTTCTTTTGAGGGTAGTACTAATGCAGTCTTTTCAGAATGAATTCTTCTTGAACATGCATTATTCTCTACTGGGCATACCTTATAATTAGAAACCCATACATATAATCTTCTTTTTCTAAAATTTTGATACATTACCATAGTTACTCTTTAAAATTTGCTAGTCTCTAAATATGAATTTGAATTAGATGAGTTTAACAGATTATTTTTAGTGATTTCATGGCCACCCAACAGGTCAGATTCAATATTATTTTTGCAAATCCTAGCAAAGTTAAATCTTGTAAATGAATAGAGGTAGTGTTTTCCATTATATTTCAGTTATCAGAGAACCTGAGTGTGAATGATCATGGAAAAAAATATAAGAAATGTAGTTAAAAACATTACTGAATTTTCTATATTTATTAGTCAAATTACTAAGCATACAGAAGAAGAAATATAGCAGATTGTATTGCAGCTATTATTGCAATAAGCAAAAACTAATGCTTGCAGCCTGGTACTGATCTCATAATCACCTCAGTGGGTTGTTTAAGATGTGGTCAGGTTGCTTATCCAGTGAATTATCAGAATACTTATTTGTTTTGCTTTAAGCTTACTTTTCAAATAGGATCGATCAACTAGAGGTAAATAACAGTCAAATGTTTATTAATAAGTCTCTTTACCTTCAACCTGCTGAATAAAAAGCATACCTTAAAATACTTTTGTGACATATCTAGTGTCAACTACATTATGTAATGTACTTATTTCATTTGAATGAATATTCTTGCAAGTCTTTAGTTTTAAGTAGCTTCTTATAGTATATGTTGATTCATCCTTACTCTTTTAATATATTAATGTCTAATTCAAATAAAATATGATGCAATTTACAGTAAATTGTATGGTTCTCTCATAGAAACGCAATCAAAAAAGGCTGCTTTTGAGGACAGCTGTCTCGCTAAGCCTTGTGTTTATATTTCACATATTACAAATACTCTGTAGTTTAGTTTAAGTAAGACACTTATTGTGGGGCATGAATTACTCTGTTTCAAAATAAATTTAAAAGGATATATTGAAAAGAATCTAAGTGAAGAATAAAATTTAAACTGTACCATAATACATTAAGTTGATCTAAAACTAGACCAAAATTTAGAATAGGCTAGAAAAATATTTCCTAATGCTGAAACTTAAAAAACAACAATAAAAAAGAAACAGAAAAATAGCTATAGATATTTTACTTTTCTACAATGTTGTTGTAAAACTTGATTGAGATCTGTAATGTACTCTGCAGTATTTTGAGTGGAAATCTTTCAATAATGTATGCATTATTTTTCATTCAATAATTTATACATTATTTTTCATTCATGAACTCGAAATGACAATAAATAGGAATATTTCCTTGTTCAGATCATGTTAAATAGATTCCCTTACACGGTATTACTTGCATTGTTTAAAAAGTCAAAAATTGTTCGACTATTCAGAAATACTTACTCTCTGTTGAAGACTTATGACTTTTATAGTTAGATACATATTAAAATATAACTATTTGAGCATTATCTTTGGTCCAGCAGTACCACTCCAAGCAATCTTCCATCAAGAATAAAATCATCAACATATAGACATATATACCGTTATGAGCATTACCATATAGCTTGAAATCACAAAACAGTTTTAAGTTTAATAAATTTTTATCAGTGGGTTTTGACTAAATAACTCATGGCATACTTATTATACATTGTAGTAAGGTAGTACTACATGGTAGACATTTTTAATGTAATAGAAAAAAAAAGACATACTGGAAGTGCTTTGCAACAATAAATTATTATATATGAAATATACTTAGAATAAAACAGTATTCGGCCATAAAAACAAATGAAATTTTGATATGTGCTACAATGTGGACGAACTTTGAAAACATTATGCTAAGTATAAGAGTCAGATACAAAAAGACAACTCTTGTATGATTCCTTTTATATGAGGTAGAATAGAGTTTACCAGGGGCTGAGAGACAGAGACCATGATAGGATAGAATTGTTTTAGAACTCAGGATAGATGAACATAACTTGTCATTCTTTCCTAACTTGGCAAAAGCAAAAATACTATGACAGTATTGCCAGAAATAAGTAGTAACTTTGAGGCAGATATAAATCATCTTAAAAGAAATGAATGCATTTCGGTGTAGAATACACCAATTAACTGCTGTCAGTGTTCATCCATATATTTGGCAGTACAGTACTCTTAAGTCTGAGAACTGTCTTTTTTTTATAAAAATGATTTTAATTGAAAAACTCTTAAGTAAGTTATTTGGAATATGTAATGTTCAGAGCTCCTCTAAGATGCCTTTCTCATGAATCAAGGTTGTCTGTATCACTATTCTCATTGGCACATGCTTCCAGTGAGAAGAGTTATCTCAGCTATCTGTGTCAGTGCTAATGCAGGGCTCTCATTTCAGATCCTAGGCAGAGGAAACAACAGAACTTTATACCAAGTACAGAAAATGTACAGGCTAATAGACACACATATTGCCAGAGAGCTCAAAGTAGACAGTATTTAACCTTTCAGAGGAGAGCTTTAATGGACCCATAAAAACCTACAGTTGTATGGAAAATCATACGTATGTGTGTGTGCACATACACATGTTTACTTAGGGAGAGGATGCATAGTTTTTACTCTACTATCAAAGGGGATGTCAGCATCCAAAAGTTTAAAAAGCACTAGAAAAATTAATCACAACATAGTTTCAAACTGCTGTGATGGCTCTGGAATTCTGTTTTTAAAATGCTTTCCTTCACTGTGTTGTTACACTTCAAAAAGCAGGGTAGTAATGCAGAAAGAATCTGTGCCATTAGGTAACAGCTCTATGCCTAGGATTTATTTTATTTTATTTTATTTTATTTATTTTGTTAAGAGTAGGAAATATTTATTGATGGAAAGGCAGCTTCTGCTAAGAAAGACAGAATGGGGCCCAGAAGGTGGGTGGTCCCAGGATTTCTTAATGTACGATTAACATATAGACATATAGTAGAAGCATTAAATGATATACCGAGATGAAAGTCCCCGGTTGAATTTTTTTTTTTTTGGTACTGGGGATCGAACTCAGGACCTTGCCCCTGCGAGGCAGGCTGAGGCACTACTGAGCTAAATCCCCAGCCCAAATATTTTAAAGCAAGATAAGTACTCATACATATGATGCCTTGCTTTGCTTAGAATGCAAGCACATAAATGTTTTAATATTTTATTTTGTTAAAGCATATCATGCTTCTAATATATATGAGCAAATGCACATTAAAAGGCATGTAAACTCAAAACAATTTTTCTTGAATATAGTTATTTGACTATACTCTCATTATATTTACTTTTATATAATGGTTGTAAAAAAAAACTAAGTTAGTATAAGTACAGATATTAAAAGTCAAACTCATCTGGTGTAGAAGGGTAGGTGGATAGATATATATGCCTGGGAAAAAACTAATTTCTTTACTAAAATCACATCACTGAATATCTCATCTGCAACCTATCTGCACTGTACTATGAATTGCAAGTAACAGAAAATTGTCAGTCCCTGACCCTGCTCTCTAGGGCTATGTTAAAATAGCAGACAAATCATGTTTACAAGAAAGGTTAAACCAATATTGAAAGAATTGTAGAAATTTAGACAAGGGAGAAGAACACATATCTGACCAAAGAAGAAAAGTGGGTATGAGAAAGGTTCCATGGAAGAAGTAGTGTCAAGTGTGAGCAAGGTTTCAATATATAACAGGAGGAGCTAAAGGAACAAATGGAAATAAATAGGCAAGGGCCGGGGATTTAGCTCAGTGGTACCACACCTGCCTCACAAGTGCAAGGTCCTGAGTTCAATCACCGGTACCAAAAAAAAAAAGAAAAGAAAAAGAAAATAAGTAGGCATGACATTATGAAACACAAATTAGAAATAAATACTACTTGGGTTAGACTTTCTCTGCTTTTTAGAATGCAAGCATATAAAAGGGGTACTATAAGATTGGGAGAAACTAGATCAAGAGGTAACATATTTGCTGATCCATATTACTTATTAATAATATTGAATAGGGTGAAATATTATAGAAATTAGTCACCTAAGAAGAGGTCATTGGCAATTTTCAAAATAGTACATTTTCCCTACCTGTTTTCACTGGAGGCATTGGTTGAATAGAAATTACATTTCTTCTTCAGCCTTACCATTCTTCCTACTTTTTCTTCCATTTTTCAAAATCTCAAAATAAACGTATTTCAACTTATCTAATGACAGTAATGCAGCACCAGGAAAAGCTCTTTTGTTATAAGATAGCAAATCTGGCCCCTAAATTTATACACTTTAGCTTGCAGAGAACATTGATTGCCCACCAGAGATAATATTTTTCATTTGATTGGAAACAATAGATTGATTTCAATTCTATCTTGTCAAACCTACAGAAGTACCCAGAGTTCATTTAGTATCTATCATGCACATTGTTTCACTTTTCATTTCTAAACACCAGCTAATTAATTTTTCCTTTCCTTGAGAAATATTTACAGAAAAGGAAATTAAGTCAGTTCCAGTTTCTTTGAATTCACTTATTGTCTTCAGTTTTACCAAGATTAAAATTTCTCTTTCTTTCTTTCTTTCTTTCTTTCTTTCTTTCTTTCTTTCTTTCTTTCTTTCTTTCTTTCTTTCCTTCTTTCCTTCTTCTCTTTCTCTTCCTTCCTTTCTTTCTTCCTTCCTTCTCTCTCTCTCCCTCTCTGTTTCTTTCTTTCCATAAAGGTTTCTCCAATACTTAATCTAATGGATTAATCTCACCTCCAAAATCATTGGCAGGTATTACATCAGCTTGGGATCACCAGTCCTTCAATTCTCACCCTGTTTCTCATCAAATAAGTCAGGTTCTTCAGAAACCAAATACTAGACACCATCAATTTTTAACTCTCATTTTGATATTCTCATATACTGGATTTCAACAAAAAGATTACTCAATATAACAAATTTTTATTATACTTCTCAGACCAATTATATGACCTGTATTTCACATACCTTGAACCTATTTATTAAAAAGAATGATTTTATTAATATCTGCTACTTTTCAGAACAATCATTTATTATATGGTTAAGTATTTAATGTTAGAAAGGAAAGGTGATAGAATAGAGGGGTTTGCTTTCTTTTTTTGGTTTGCTTTTGATCTTTTACTTTTTAACCTCTTAATTGCTGTGTCTGTAAAATTCCAGAATCTCAAAAATTTGATATTTTAAAATTTTCAAGCCATGCTCAGCACATAATATAACATAACATTAAATCATAATAATATTTTTTAGAAAGCCCTGAGTGCTTCAAGATTCCAGAAGACAGTTCCTGGAGTGGGTTATTTTGTAGTGGGCTTGCTCACCTCTTCTACTCCCTCTACCTTATATTCTGATGGTAGAGACAAAGAAACAAATTTAAGGTCGAAAGTATATTTTATGAAGAGGTAGTCTGCAATCAGAAAAGCAACACAATATATAATAGAACTGGCATGGATTTTTAGAACCAGTATCTTTGTCTAGAATGCAATATTGAAAAAGGAAGGTAAGCAAGGTTCAATTTAGAGCTATAAACTATGCCCCTCTGTTTCATTCATCTAGTTTAATTTGCTAAAATAAAATCACAAGATTATTGAGTCAGATTGTCTCTCTAATTTCAAGTTTAAAGATAACAGATCTCTTTTAAAATAGAATACTGGCACACAGACACCCCACAATCTGGCTTATTGCAACTGTTCTCTGTTGGTGAAGTGGCATATTTGCATCCCCGTCACAGCCATCTTAACCATTTCACAGCAGATTACTCAAATGTATATCCCTAGGTCGCAACAAGAGTAAGAACTTGAGCTCAGTAGCAAGTAGTTGTGGGGAAAATCCTAAGACAAGTGATACAAACCTGTTAGCAGGTAGATAAACTTAAAAATGCTCAAATAACTTGAGATTTAGATTGGGCGATTCCATTGGATTTCTTCTTTCTTTCTTTCTTTCTTTCTTTCTTTCTTTCTTTCTTTCTTTCTTTCTTTCTTTCTTTCTTTCTTTTTTTTTTTTTGGTACCAGAGATAGAACTCAGGACCTTGTGCTTGCAAGGCAAGCATGGTGCCTCTGAGCTAAATCCCCGGCCTTCCATTGGATTTCTGACTGGCTACTGGTGAAAGGCTCTCAGAAACTTTTGAGGTTTTGGAGTAAGCCTAGCACAAACACACTGCTTGCCCTAAATCCTAGCAGCTAATTGTCTTACAACCCAGCTGGATAGAAAAATTGCATCAAGAGAAACAGAATAGATTGACATTTACATTTTTATTTCCACCTCTGTCAAGGCATAGGGAGCAGGCTTTACACCCTAATACATTCTGTTTATCCTCTCAAGCCTTCTGGTAGCCAGCCAGAGTGACTGCAAGGAAGAGAGTTATGGGAAATTATGTTGGTAGTGGGTAAAAGCAGAATATTTCATTCTATGTATTTGTGGGAAGGACATAGGTAATGGTATAGAAAGAAATACTGAATAGGAAACCTTGTGGAAGCAATGCCCTTTCTGGGTCCTTGACAAAATCAGTCATGAAATTGAGGCGGTAGAGAAGAGCTGATAAGAGTTGGCCAGGGAATGAACATGGCATCTCCGAAAAAGATTAATGAAATAAATGATTGGCAGAGAAAGAAGATGGTAAATGAAGGGAGAAGCAATGTCAAGTTCTGCTCCAACCAGGCTCAATTCCAGGAAATAGGGAAGTTTCTCTTCCACCTACAGACTCTTTCTAAAGGCTCAGTTGAGCACCGACCTAATAGGATAAATTAGAAAGAGAGAAGACACACAAGCATACAAAGAGAGGGATTTCTAATTACTTCGCCAGATTGCTGCTAGAGACCTGCTGCTCCAAAACCAGAAAATAATGGGGACGGGGGTGTAGAAGGCAGAAAGGTAAAAGAGCAACTCTAATTATTTTATATTTGGAATCCTCTTCAGTGTGTAAGCGAATCTCGCACTGAAATATTCTATCACCTTTCAAAGAATATAGCGGCTGAACGCTTTCTTTGTTTGTCCAGAAACACTGCTTCTCCAGTCTCCAGCACTTGACTGATTAACATTTCAATCCCAGTTCTTGCTCTTTTTCCCATTGCAGAATGTAGCATGGTTATCTCCTTTCTTCCCTTTCTACTGCAAACCCCATTATTAACCGAGGGGAAAGCACAGCACACTGTGGCCGAGGCTAATAATAGCCCGACCACTTACCTTCCCCTGATCGAGTCAGTGCGTGTCCTGGGAGCCTGCAACCCCGGCCGCAGTCCCGTCTCGCTGGGCCGAGTGCGTGGTCAGCTCCCGCCGGCCCCCACCCCACCTGCCAGCTGCAGCTGCCGCTCCCGCCGCCTAGCTCTGGCCGCATGAAGTCATCCCCACCGGATCACCACATTCCGAGCGAGCCGCGGGGGGGAGAGGGACCTCTCCCGGCCGCGGGGAAGGACACCTGGCAACAGCGCCCCACTAACGCTACCCCTCTAAGCTCTAGCTCTATTTTCTATTAATTCTTTTACAGATGCAGCTTTCCTTGGATTGTGCACCCAAGGAGAACAGCCAGAGACTTTCTCTGCAGTGTGTCTTTCCTCCAAGATCTCCCCCGTAACCCTGGCTGCATGGACAGCTCCATTTGACTGTGTGGGTTTCCCACCCTCTTCATCTTCCTTATCAGTATTGTTCATTTCGGTGAATTGGAGAGCAGTGATTGTCTTTTGAGATAAGCATTTAGATTCTCCGAAAATATTTTAAATTGGCAATCAATATGTCCCAACCCCGTCTTAGCACGCTCCATCTCCCTGTAAGACAAACACCTACACAAGTACATGCATACAGCCAAACAACTCCCAATCATGAAAGGTAGGACCTCTAGCTTACTCACCTACGTAATACAACAGGAATGTCTCAAAGGAGTGGAAAAGTGAGACTGATCAGAGAAGGCACCCAAGGAAACAGAAAAGGGTTACTTCAGGACTTGGTTGCTGCATAGTTGTGCTCTAGTGAACAGATGTTTTAACACCCCTCTCTCTCTTCCTCCCCCCCCCCCCCCCACTGGACATACTGCTCTGGAGACAGCTATAACATTTGGAAACTAAAAGGCAGAATCCATGTTAACATATGGCTGTAACTCATTCTTTCCTAAAGGATTTATCAGAATTTGCTTTAGTAAGGAAATAAGCATATATGCAAATAAGCCACTTCCCTCCTTCCTTAAATTGGCACTAGTTATTATTAATAAGAATGTTCTCTGTCTTTGTCTCTTCCCTCTCCCTCTCTTCTTCCTGCAATATCACTGACCAGATCAACTTCGGGGGTTGGGTGTTTACAGAATAAAAGGCCTTGAGTTTGTTCTCTTTTGCTGCATAGCCAGAATTTCTTCCTCACTTGAGTCATTTCCAAGTAGGGAGGTTCCTAGTTCTGCAGGGGATGGGGGTGGGGGTGGGGATGGACTTTCCTCATTTAACTTGTGCTTGGGACTGCCCATCGCTTAGATCCAGGCCAGCCTGATCCTGGGAATCTGGCCAACAGCCTAAAGAGTGTAATTGCATAAGGTCACAAAACCATCTTCACTAAAAGAAACTTTCCTATCCCTCTTTTATCAACTCCAAAACTAGGAAGTAGTTTAGCTATCAGAGTTCCAACAAAAGTCAGAATTTTAGGCCCTAGAATACATGTTCTTTGGAAGGTGGAACAACTCAGTTCATCTCTCTGAGCTTCACTTTATAAAATTATGTCATTAATATTACCATAGAGCAGGGGATTATTGATCTGTTTTTTGTTTTTGGTTTTGATTTTGGTTTTTTTGGTACCAAGGGTCAAATTCAGAACCTTGTGCTTTCAAGGCAGGTGTGCCATTTAGCTGAATCCGCAGCAGGGGATTCATAATCTGTATCAAAGGAAAATATGAATGTAATTCTGAAGGGGAGAATTTGGATGGGAAAATTACATCTTTAGTTTTAATCTCTAATGGAGATCTAGTACTTAGGATTGTTCTTTAAAGTATGAATATAGCAAACAAACAACATAAGAGTATCTGCAAATTTGTCACCAAAAGAATTCACAGATAACTTCCACTGGAGTTTTATAACTATCTTAAAATATCACTACTCTCTTATAGTCAGATTATCATTACTTTAAAAACTATAGATTATCACTACTCTAGAAACTATCTTTATTTTAAAAACTATGTTTTTAGAATGGTTTTGATTTACAGAAAAATTGAAGAAGTAGTGCAGAGAGTTGCTATGCATCTCTCCCAATTTCCTCTGTTTATTAACATCTTATGGTATTATGGTACCTTTGTCACAATTAATTGACTAATATTGATACATTACCACAAACTAAAATCTATATTTTGTTCAAGTTTCTCTGGTTTATACCTATTGTCCTTTATTCGGTTCCACACACTTCCATCTAGAGTACCACATTACATTTTATAGGATGTCCCACTATTGCAAATTGTCTGATGTTTTTCTTGTGATGAGACTGGGTTTATGGGTTACTGGAAAGAAGACCACAGAGAAAAGTACCCTTTCATCACATCCTATTAAGACTAAATACTATCAGTGTGATTTATGGATACTGGTATTGACCTTTTCACTTAGTTGAGGCACTGTTTACCAGGTGTTTTCATTGTAAAATAATGGGTCATCTCTTACATACTGTACTTGTTGAAAGCGAATCACTATGGGGGGTCCAGAGCCAATGTGTGAGGAATTATGTTCAACCTCTTTGAGTATGAAGTGTGTACATAAGGTATTAGGAATTCTTCTGCATATTAGGTTTTTCAATTCTCCCCAAATATTAACTTATTCAATTATTTATTTATATCATTATAGACTCATGGATCCATATTTTATACTTTGGTAATAATCTAATATTTTTTTGTTGTTGCTCAAATTATTCCAGGTTTCGCTATTGGAAACTCTCAATTAATGACTGTGCTCTTTTCATCTGCCTCCTTAATGTGCATTTAATAATTTTTAATATTATTATGTATGTGCACAAAAATTTCTTCATATGGCAAGATGCTCCAGGCTCATCTCATATATTACCTGCCCAGTCCTAGAATCAATGAGTTTGCTAAAAAGACCTTGTTGCATTTATTGGAGAATGGGAATGAAAGCCAAGATCTGGACTCTTTGTATGTTTATTGCTGATGGGGTATTGTTTTATTTAGGCCTTCTCAACCAAGAGACCCAAGATATATATGTGTGTACTACTTATGCAAATACATACATCTATAAATATTTCTATTTGTAATTCTCTATATGTAAATATCTGAAAAGTATACATATGCACACTGATGATGTCTCCTACTCTAGTAATACAGACACCATTCTGTTCCCTTCCTCTTACTATCCTGTAAATTCCCACTCCAACAATGAGAAATAGTGTTCCTGCCATCCACTATTTGCTTGTTGCTTCTAGGTATAGCAGCACCAGAACTTTAATTTATTATCCTGAAGTCACATTTTTTTAGTATGGTAGTTAAAAGAACCACTGCTATTTCTTATTCAACATATATAAATGCCTCTACATTTCTCTATCATGAATTTTCTTAAAAACTTTGATTATTGCCTTTAAAAATTGATAGTTTTGGGGGCTGGGGATTTAGCTCAGCGGTGCCGCCACCTGCCTCTCAGGGGGAAGGTCCCTCTATCCCCAGTACAAAAAAAAAAAAAAAGATGATTTTCTTTGCAATTTCTATGTTGTATTATATGCATTTAAATGCATTATTCAGAGAGGAATGGCATAAACTTCAAGATTGTCAAGCAGTCCATGGCAAAACAACAACAACAACAAAAGATTAGAATCCCAACATAAGTTTGTTGTGAGAATTTAATGAGATGATGTGAAATCGCCTTTGTGTAAACTTTACGGGGAGATTACACTCAGTGAATATTCAGTTGCAGTAGGCTTCCATCTCTAAATTTTTAGATACTCTGGAGAAAAGAAAATGCTCAGCCTTAACAACTTATAAGTGCATTGAAGGATTTAGTAGATATCAGGTGTTGGAGATAGAGGCACATACAAAGTCAGAGGGAGGGAGGATAAGAAGGTAAAAGGAACTGGAAGACTGAGGTGACTTAAAATAGCACCAATTTTGTATTTGGATAGCCCTACACTTGGATTCTTACACTGACAGTCTGACCTGGTCTTTGTTTTGAAGTGAGGAGAACAATGAGAACAAAGGCTATTACATAGGTTTGTTCTTCGAGTGAAAGTTGTTTGGTCTTTTCATTTTGTCTGGTGCAGTGGGAAGTGTGGTAACTTGGGACAGCCGCAGAACATGTTTTTTTGTTCGTTTGTTTTTGTTACTCTAGGATAGTTTTGTTGTGTGAAGCCAAAATCTTGGAGGCGTAGACAGTTTCTCATGAAAACATGGACTCTTTCATCAATCAAAGTAACCCTGCCAGATGAATTTTATTCATGGAAGGAAATCATTATTAAGACAGTATTTAACTGCTTCAGATACTATAATGTATTAGGAGGCATAGGAAAAATGAAAAGAAAAGGAAAAAGAGATAGGAAATATTTTGTCAACATATAGGAGTTGAATCTATTTTCTTTAGATTTGACTTGTACCGATGCATCAAATAATTTAAAGAACAGAGTGGTGTGAAAGAGATTTTTTCCCCCTTTACTCTATGACTTTACATTGCACAATCTTTTTCAAAAAACTAAACTTCTGATCTTGCTTTTTTTTTTTTTTTTTTGGTACCGGGGATCGAACTTGGGTCCTTGCGCTTGCGCAGCGTGCAATGCTTCCTTTCTGATATTGTTGAATTAGAGATCAAATGACCTACTGATATCATGAATTTCAGCAAGGGGCAATGTGAAACCTGAGCCAGAGGCCCTGTCAGCAGCTAGAACCACTGCTTTGGGTTAAGGGAGGCCTTCCAGAAGGGGCTCATTTAAATGCAAATGTGCTATCAGAAAGGGTAAGTGAGTATCTCATTAGCAGCCATTAACAATTTAGCAGAGATTAGCTTCTCAGATTTATTATTGAGAGGAGTTGTCAGGGCGATTTGGCCCCAGCATCTGTCACCCCATTGACTGCCAGGTCTCCTGCTCTCATCCCTCCATAGAGGACTGCCTAAAGCTGGGAACTCGTTCCACCAGAAAAGTTGAGCACTGAGTGGTTTATAATCAACACCATTTTACATAATTTTGACTTATGAGAAGGGGTGAGAGGATTCCTATAATAATTGTGCTTCTTTTTCTTTCTTTTCTTTTTAATTTTTTTGGTGATTTTGGCAAATTTGGCTTTATTAATTATTATCTATAAAATTCACACAATTTTATAATCAAACATATACTCTTAATAAAGTTAGAAAGAATATCATGTAAAATTATACAATGTAATTCAGGGATA